ATGTATTACTTAACTTGGCATGAGTTAGATGGTCCTTTACGACATTTCAAATCTCAATGAAATGCTCCGCTGGGGCGCAGCTTGATACGACCGCAGAGGTCGAACCCTGAACAGTTGGGGCAAGTATGGACACAACATTCAAGCTTGATACAGCACTGAATTTGGATTGTAATTAAATATTTGAACTTAAAAATTTTTAATTTACCTATTCAAACCATATCATTATTATTTGCTTTTATATATAAATCAGAAATAACCAATTTTAAATGGAAAATTTTAAAGAAAAAAAAGGAAAAAAAAATCCCCCCCCCCCCCAAATTTTTTGAACCCCCTTATGATTCATCACCCCCAAACTCAATCCCAGCTTTCCCTTTGTGGTATGGTACCTTGAAGTACAATTTCAGAGAGATCCATACACTTGACCACAAGTTATTGTCTGGAAACTAGAAAAATGCTTGTTTTTTGGCCCCTTTTTGGCCCCAAATTCCTAAACATTTAGGGCAATTACCCCCAAACTCAAACCCAGCTTTCCCTTTGTGATATGGAACTTTGCAGTACAATTTCATAAAGATCCATACACTTACACACAAGTTATTGTCCTGAAACTAGAAAAATGCTTGTTTTTTTGCCCTTTAATGGCCCCTAATTATTAAATTTTGAGGGAATTACCCCCAAAAATCAATCCCAGTCTTCCCTTTGTGGTATGGTACCTTGCAGTACAATTTCAGAGAGATCCATACACTTGAACACAAGTTATTGTCTGGAAACTAGAAAAATGCTTTTTTTTTTGCCCTTTAATGGCCCCTAATTACTAAAATTTTGAGGGAATTACCCCCAAAATCAATCCCAGCCTTCCCTTTGTGGTATGGTACCTTGCAGTACAATTTCAGAGAGATCCATACACTTGAACACAAGTTATTGTCTGGAAACTAGAAAAATGCTTGTTTTTTTCCCCTTTAATGGCCCCTAATTACTAAAATTTTAATGGAATTACCCCCAAAATCAATCCCAGCCTTCCCTTTGTGGTATGGTACCTTGCAGTACAATTTCAGAGAGATCCATACACTTGAACACAAGTTATTGTCTGGAAACTAGAAAAATGCTTATTTTTGGCCCCTTTTTGGCCCCTAATTCCTAAACTTTTTGGGCAATTACCCCCAAACTCAATTCCAGCTTTCCCTTTGTGATATGGAACCTTGTAGTACAATTTCATAAAGATCCATACACTTACACACAAGTTATTGTCCTGAAACTAGAAAAATGCTTGTTTTTTTGCCCTTTAATGGCCCCTAATTACTAAAATTTTGAGGGAATTACCCCCAAAATCAATCCCAGCCTTCCCTTTGTGGTATGGTACCTTGCAGTACAATTTCAGAGAGATCCATACACTTGAACACAAGTTATTGTCTGGAAACTAGAAAAATGCTTGTTTTTTTGCCCTTTAATGGCCCCTAATTACTAAAATTTTGAGGGAATTACCCCCAAAATCAATCCCAGCCTTCCATTTGTGGTATGGTACCTTGCAGTACAATTTCAGAGAGATCCATACACTTGAACACAAGTTATTGTCATGAAACTAGAAAAATGCTTGTTTTTTGCCCCTTTTTGGCCCATAATTCCTAAAATTTGGAGGCAATTACCCCCAAAATCAATCCCAGCATTCCCTTTGAGATATGGAACCTTGTGGTACAATGTCAGAGAGATCCATACACTTACACACAAGTTATGTCTGGAAGTTACAAAAATGCTTATTTTTGGCCCCTTTTTGGCCCCTAATTCCTTAACTGTTGGTACCATAACCCCCAAAATCAATCCCCACCTTCCTTTTGTGGTATTGAAACTTATGGTAAAATTTCATTGAGATCCATTCACTTAAACTAAAGTTAGAGTGCGAAAACTAATGTGCCTTCGGACGACAACGACGACGCCAATGTCATACCAATATACGACCACAAAAATTTTTTTGCAGTCGTATAAAAACTTACCGCTAACATCATTCAGGCGAAGGACAAAATTTAAGATATTTCTGATTTTTTATGAAAATTCAGAGGCATTTAGAACTTGTTGAACTGCATTCAAATTGAAAAAATGATCTTTGTAGCATAACATAAAATAGCACAAAAGTACACATAGAATTGTATCGCCTGCTTTACTGATCATAATTGATTTTATGTTCAAAGTCTTTAAGATAAATGTTTTACTACACATATCACATAAACATGACATTATAAATGATCCATGTAAATGAGGTCAAGGTCAGATGAACCCTGCTAGACCAACATGTACACCTTACAATCATTCAATGCATCAAAAATAACTGACCTATTGCATATAGTATCTGAGATAAGGAATCAATTAAATACACTTGTCATTAACCAATGAACTATGAAATTGAGGTCAAAGTCAAAATATTCCATCCAAGTAGAAAGTTCACTTTACAATAATTCCATTCACCAAATATGGTTGACCTGTTGCCTATAGTATCTGAGAAACAGAATAAAAGACAAAAAGATAACATTGACCAATGAACCATAAAATGAGGTCAAGGACAGAAACCTGCCAGACAAACATGTACACCTGACAATCAGTTCATACACCAACAATAGTTGAGCTACTGCTTAATAGTATCTGAGAAACAGACAGAATCCTTTAACTAACATTTTGATCACTGATCCATGTAATTGGGTCCAGGTTAGGTGAACTCTGTCTTACAGGACAAGCAGACCATGCAACAATCACATATATCAAGTATAATTATCATATTACTCATAATAAGTAAGAAATTCACATGACAAAAAAAGTTTGTTTTTTTGAGCAGTCACTGAACATTGAAAATGAGGCAAAGACAATGGTCATATGACAGACAGAAACTTCATAACATAAGGTATCTATATTATGTAGAAGGTATGAAGCATGCAGGGCTTTTACCTTCTGGAATATAAGACTTTATACAAACAGTTTACATCGAGGCCAACAGATTAGAATCCTTAGGTCTTGTATTTTTTGCAACTTTTGTCATAGGTGAGACAAAAATCTTGCCTTAGAACAGATGTGTTAAAATCAATATATACTATCAATCCTATTCCAATCTTCACTGCATAATACATAAGGGATCTATTATTTAATGTGCTGAAATAACAAAAAATCTATTCCTAAACTTCATTTATTGTCATTGAGTTGAAAAAACAAAAAAATCTATTTCTAAAGTTGCATTGTTTAAGGAAAATATTCAGCTAGAGTTATCATATAAATGATGATTTTTAACAAACAGCATGAAAAAGAATCAATAGGAGATATATGCCTTGATTATTGAACTATAAATCTGATAGTTCCTGAAGGTGACAAGCCCATCATTACAGTTAATGGTCAGGAAAGATTATGGTCTTCATCTGATATTAGATTTCAATTATTTCATTTCATCCAAACCTTCAGGTGCTAGATATGTTTTCACTGTTAATTTTGTCCTTCTGATGTTCAATGCAGATAACATTTATTGATTTTTATATTCTGACCAATCTTAAACTCTAATTTCATCTAAAAAATGTCAGGGTAGGGAGGATGCTATATCCATGGTGCAATAAAAGTTATATAAAAGACTGACTTTCAGTTATTCCATTATCTTTTAAAATCATTAATTGTCAATTGTTAATTTCTGAGACTAAAAAGGGATAAATCCTAAATTCAGAAGCTAAGAAATTTAGCAAAAAGTTCCAGATTTTCAACTAATGAATCTAGTTAATAATAAACACAAATTTTGAACATGATATACAGGGCTGTAAATGGAGTCACTGGTACAATGTGAGTTCTCTTGAACAAGAAAAAAAAAATACTTCAAATCTCTTCTAATTTGAAGGGGCATTAGCTGTCAAATTCATGTTCACTAATTTGACTCAAATTCTCATATTCGACTTTTAACATACTAAAACGTATATCCAAATTATAAAAATCTAAAATAAACAATTTACTATGCATGGACTTGATACTATGTATCAGCATTTCGTGTGTATCTTAGTCTAGACGCCACCTAAATAACCATCGAGGTGACCTCCTAATACTGCAGACGGTCATATAACCCGATATAAACCTTAATATAGATATAAATAGATAGCGAAATCGTGCAATTGGATTTTTCTAGGTCTGTTTCATTTCATATTATAGGTTAAAAAAATTGTAAATCATCATTTTTACCTGTATAAGAATGAGTTTTTCAGGATCGAATCAGTCAACCAAATGGTTTACCCTTGTTTCATTTCCAATGTTGACATTCTTTTCCTTTTAATGGCTGAACACGACTAATACATTCGGAACCAAACTCTAGCTAATGGGTTAAATTGAAGGTCACATGAATACGGATTCAATGAGGTCGAATTATTCAATTGCAAGTGAAAAATTCATCAGCGATGTTTGTTGGTTTATTTTGACAAAATTGAACAAAACTGCTAGAAGTTAATTATTATTTCACTATTTCACTTTCATTAATGATTGAACAGAAAAAAAATCATATTATAATTTTTTTTTATATCTCGTAGCTAATGCCCCTTTAAAGAAATATAGATTCCACTACTGCAACAAATGTGTTACAATATTTCTCCACTCGTGACAGTTAAATTTTAATACATGAGTTATAGTGGTGGAATCTGTTTCTCTAATGATTATTATCCTTCCTATTCATTGATTGATTGATTGTAAGGTGTTAAACCATACTTGACAATATTAAAACAGCCAGTTGAAACCAGAATACATGGAGAGCACCATAACCTTCAGCAGGAAAACTGACAATCCTTGTCAATAAAAGTTCATAGTCATACACACCTGACACAAGGGGGCTTGTACTCACTACCTTAGTGTTGAAAGGCTAGTGATCATTTTACTAAAATCAATTGTTAATAATAATGTATAATCACTGATTCATTGAAAGTTTCAAGATTCCATCGTTTGTCCAAACATAATCCAGAAATACAATCTGAAAATTGCAAATTATTCAATATAACTGATCTTACCATCTATACATTCTTCTTCTGTACTGCAGAGATGTCTTGTAAATAAACAACCTAAAAAATATACTCAAAATGTAAACTATTTGTAAAAATATACACTTAATGTAACCAACCTGATATACACTACATGTAAATAAACCGTTAAAATATACACTTAATGTAAACAATTGTTAAGTGTACACTAAATACAAACTAAAGACAAAAAAGCAGTTTACATTCATATTCAGAAGTTTGGCTGTACCTGTAGAAAACTTTTTTCAAACTGATAGCACATCCTAATTTTTACGGTGATGTTATTTACTGAGCCTGTTAATTTAGATACGATTTAGGTAAAGTTATTGATCCTTTAAATAAACTTATTCTAAAAGGTTATCAATTTAACACTGAAATTAGATCTTTGAATATTGTTTTTATCAATATGAATAATGTTTTTTGTTATCGATAAATTAAAATCCAACTAAATATTACTGTTATAAAATTGAGAATGGAAATGGGGAATGTGTCAAAGACACAACAACCCGACCAAAGAGCAGAAAACAGCAGAAAGCCACCTATGAGTCTTCAACACAGCGAGAAAATACACATATACCTGTATGTACTTTCACGTCCTACATACTGTTAATACCTTTATTTTGGCATTGCACAAGGTCATGTTTTTCTCTGACTGTTAATGACGTCTTTACACTAAATCCATTGGGTGTTGGATGTGTTCTGATTGATATTTTAGTCTTAGATAGTATAATAAATACATGATATTTTTATTGGCTTTTAACTAGCTGTCAGTAACTGTGAGTACTCTTAGATGTACTTTGTGTCTTTTGTGTTGTGATGGATGTATGAATACCCTGTCATGTTCCGTCTGTGTTTGTGTTAGACGTTTTTCTGCTAAGTAAAACCCTTTTCAACTGATTTTTATAGTTTGTTCTTATGTTGTACTATTACAACACTGTCCCAGGCTAGGGGAGGGTTGGCACCTTCAGACATGCTTAACCCCCCACATTTTATTATGTGCCTGTCCCAAGTCAGGAGCCTGTAGTTCAGTGGTTGTCACTGGTTCATGTCTGTCATATTTGTTTTTTCGTAAATTGTTTTGTTATAAATTAGGCAGTATAGTTTTCTCAATTGAATTGTTTTATTTTTTCATGTCGGTGCCTTTTAAAGCCTACTATACGGTATGGGTTTTTCTCATTGTTGAAGGCTGTACGGTTGCTTATAATTGCTTACATCCACTTCATTTGAACTTTGGTGGATAGTTGTCTCATTTGTAATCATACTACATTTTATTTTTAAATTCATATGACTGAAAATCGCCTAACACTAAAGTAATCAACTCAGTTGTATAAGTACAACCTTGATCCGTAACTCACCATTCATACATGTATAAACCAAAAATCAACTAAATATCTACAATAAAAACAAATAAAGTTCTGTAGAGCTATTTCATTTTAGAATGATGGAAAGATTGCTTATGGATAACAATTTATGTCTAAAAGTCACTCAGTGGTGGGAGCACACAAAACTGTTCTGGAGAGTGTGTGACACACATCAGTTCGTACTTTCGTAATCTGTGTGGATAAAAACTTGGTTTATGTAAAGATCTGTAAGATTTCTTTTTTGTTTACAATATTTTCAATCTTAAGACAGCTTAAGGATGTACATCTCTGAGGAGTCAAAAATTTCTAGAATTAAACTTTTTTCTTAACCTGATTTTTGGGTTTATATGACTGTAAAAAAATGATTGGTGAAGAAAAATCATATGGTGTTGCACTCCTTTTTTTGCTTCAGCCATTTGAAAGTACCCAATTTTGATTATTTTCCCATTTTTCATCAATTTTTACCCATTTTTGGGTTATTATCATGAAAAAAATCACAGTTTCACAATTAAACTTTTTTCATACTTTCACTAAAGATGAAGTGGACCAATCTGAATAAATTTAACTTAAAAAAGTATGGGTAGGTGTTAACATAAGAAAGTTTTATAAAATTTTGTTGCTTTTTCGTGTCAAATTTACCATGTTGTCAATTTTGTAAATTTTGGATTTTTCTCTTATTTTAGAACAAAAAGCATATTATTTCAACTTTTTTGTTATAAATGATTGAAAAGATACATATATCTAAGAAATCTGAAAAGAAAAAAATGAATATGGGATATACATGCATCTGGTAAAATCATTTCTTGTACCCCTCACCCATTTTCTCAACATTTTGGCTGAGACTGACATGATTGGTTATAAAATTTGAAAATTTTATTTTTCAAAAGCTACTTATTGTAAATACACAATTTTTTCACAGAGTTAAGTTTGATTATAATATTTTTTTAAATTCATTGATATTTTCCACTTCTGTCACATGTCTTGGAAATAATTCCAGAACGAGATTTCAACGAGACTGAAACGTCAGAAGAAATTACATCCTTAAAGAAACCTCACGCCATGTATTAAGTCAAAGAATTTTCCATTTCTGTGTATATTTAATTGTAATGGATTTTCTCAGCTAGACAACCAACCATGTACAAATAAACAGCCACATTTGTCATCCAATTCCAATTTTCTCATGGCAATAATTGATAAATATTTAGAATGACAAGGAATTTTTCTATGACAACTGACATCTTCAATAAGTTGCTACCACAATTCCTAATGGTTAATAATCAACGTTATGCTTGTACTAATGGAAAGTCTCCTGAATAAACCCCCTCAAGTATATCTCTGAAGAGTATCATCACAAAATACTTTTGGACTTTCAATGCATCATATATATTTAATAACCATAGATTGTAACATGTTCTTTACCATAGCTCCTTTACACATTTCAACAAATGCTTTAAAAAGAATAAAACTTGTTAACTAGTCTCTATCAGGATACATACATGTTCATTTTCTCCACTGAAATATTTTCATTATAATGAAGCTCCCCAACAAACTCAAACTATTAAGTTCTTGAATACTATAGTGTTTAATTATGTCAGTCTTCCGTTTATCTTTCTTTTAGATTTAAATGTTCTTTATTTTTTAACAAACACTGTTGTGGCAGTTTGTTTTATGTTGGCATCTTTATTTTTATGCCATTGTTGTTTGGAACTCTTAAGGGCATACGATACAGTAGCAGGGGCAGATAATAACGTTTTCAAAACTTTTTGTGTTGTTTTCGCGACGTTGTTAGTCAGAACGTTGGAATTTCGCGATGTTTCTAATAAGAACGATTACATTTCGCGACGTCGCTTTAGATGTAGTCACATTTACGGAAAATCCACTGACGTCATAATCCCGATTGCGCGAATTTGAAAAAAGTACCTGCAATGAAAAAGGGCCAAATCACGAGAATTGTTATATTTATTCATTAATCAGGAAGTCAACAATATTAATTTCGAATCGGAAAAAAATCAAATCCACATTCTTTACTTTGTATGTCAGTTATTTCATATAGGAAATGAATAAGAGATATGAAAAACATAAGACGTCGATGAGAGAGAAACCCAACTACACAAAAAAAAAACAAAACAATAAGTAATTTATATAGTAACTTCACCATTTGGCTCTCAAAAAAACGTAATAAATAATGACAGCGCATCTTACTGTTCCTGACTTTGAAAAGGTACAATAAAGAGTTTAACGACATTTTTAGAATTAAACCCGTGGAATATATATGTGTATGAAGAAGAACTGTTAGTTAAAATGACACAGTTATAAGCCCTGTATTATAGCCCAAAAACAAAAACGCACCCGTTGATGTGCTAAGCATATCCTCTATGTACATATTGAGAGAGAAAAATCGGCACACAGGAATTAGGTATTTGACAGACCAGAGTTGCAACTCATTGATGTTAAGTTACTGAACAATACGAAGTCTTTTTGTAAAAGAAGTTTCTCAGATAAGAAACAAAATATTTGTTGGACCGGACAAACAATGTGGTTGCACTCACTCCTAGATTGAAGGTATAATACAGACAAGTAATTCAATGATTATCTGTACCGTAATAAAAAAAAATACCCTGAAGACAAGCTTAGGTAACTTATCTATTGATACAGAATCATTAAATTTTATGCTCTTATATCGATTGCTGTATGAAATGTTATACTACACTGTAATTGACTAAGCTGACCCGATTTAATGTGGGTATGATTTTGTGTTCATGTTATGCCTATAGAGTAGGTCGTTAGTTTTCTTGTTTGAATTATTTCACATTTTCATGTCAGGGCTTTTTAAAGCTGACTATACGGTGTGGCTTTTTTTTTCTTTTTTTTTTTTTTGTGTTGAAGGCCGTAGTGTTACCTTCAATAGCGTTTATCTTCGTCATTTGAACTATGGTTGATAGTTGTCTCTTTTGCAATCATATCAAATGTCCTTATTTTTATATCATCCCCCTTACTTTATAATTGTTGCACATTTTGTCATGTCGGGGCCTTTTGAATAATTAAAACCATGTTCAAGCTGTGATGTCTACATGAATTGTATGACTAATGTCGGACATGCAGAGATGCAAATTAATTTTTTTATAATATATATATATATATATATCTGTTTTGTTTCCGAACATTTCTTTTCTATAAGTAATTTACTAGAATACTTTTTCTATCCAAGTTTCGTAACAATTCATAAAGGTTTGGCAAATATGATGCTATTTACGAGGAGCCAGCTTTATTAATTTTCATGATTAATATCATTGGTTTAAAAAAAAAACCTTGGCTCTACCACTGAAATTGACAACGTAGTAGTGAACAGCGGGAAAGATTTCACGACGTTGTTGCGAATAAAACTTATTCCAACGTAGTTTGGCGCCTTATTGGAAACGTCCCGATTGCCAATAAAAATTAAGGTTTATTGCTTTTATTGAAAAAACAAGCACATGGACCCCCAGTTTTTTCTTTTGCAATCAATAAAGTTCTGTTTCAAGAACGCTCCGCCAAAATTTAAAGAAAAAATCAACGATAGAATTTTTTCTGCACTTCTGTGTAGACGCAAAAATATTTTCATCTTCTTTATTTCACTTGTATTAAAAGAATTTAGGATATAATTATTTATTTCAACCGTTAACTTAGCATGCTGATGCCATG